CTTTGACGAGCATTCATCCTATTATGACATGTACAAGTCCATATCAATAGCTGTTGGATTAATCCAGGCTATGGAAAGTGAAAATCAATTTCCAGCCTATCCCTTCCCAAAAAAAAAAAATTGGCAAGAAAAACTTTGATCTGTAATATTAAATTGTTTTGACTTAAAAGAAAATGAAAAGAAAGAAGAAGAGTGAATGAAACAAAAAAAAAGTTGTGAAAGAAATCGTAATCGGTAGAAAAATCTAGTCCTCTCCCTATCCAGTTTATTAATTAGATTTTGTACTGCTATTCAGTTTGGTATTTAAAATTAAAGGTAGTTTATAATCATCGTCATTGTCAGAACCTGACGATTCCTGTACATCTTTGTTACACGAATTTGTATCGGGTTCATACATATAAGGTTGGATGTTAATGAAATATTCTACTTCTGGATTGTTATCCACATCACTGTCATCACTGACAGTCGACATAATTTAAACATTCCAATACAGCCAACTCATAGAATGCTTGACTGTATTATCATAGGAGTCTGCAGTTTTATCAATAAAGCACAACACAATTTTTGACTACATGAAATTACCTTAACGGTAATATAAAATAATTATTTTATACCGTTAAGATGATTTCATGTAGTCAGAAATTTCGTCGTGCTTTATTGATAAAACTGCTGACTCCTGTGCTATTATCAACAATGCCAGCGTGTAGTGTCTCAAATGACGTCACATCCGTTAATTGTTCAGGGGGGGGGGGAGGGAAGTGCGTTAGTTTATTCAAGACGGATCGGGAGAGATAATCGGTTTTACATAAAATTTCTTCGTAACGAGTAAAAAAGAAAGGTACAAATTTTCAGAAAATGAAACTTATATATATATATATATATATATATATATATATGTGTGTGTGTGTGTGTGTGTGTGTGTGTACTTTACGAAGTATGATTATTTTCTTTTAAAGAATATCAAGATAAGTTAGTTAATTTAAAGTTAGTGTTTTCCATAAAATTTATTCCTAAATCCTACCTTACATAATATATACTTGTTGATTAGAGAAAAACAACTTGTTCAAGCAATTGTTTAGTTGGGCCGAATTGTCTTAATTTCGGCCCAATTTGAGCCGAATTGTCTTGGGTCGAATTGTCTTTGGATCAAGTGACTATAATCCAGCTTAAATGATGCAACTTTCCCATCCCTCTCCCTACTCGATCCCACAGCTTCAATTCTTTTATTTATTAGGGTAAACAGTGTCTTTGATAGAAGAAAAAAACCTTTTGTCGTATCATCACTCTTTTGGTTACATCCATATGCAACACAATGCACCGTATTCGCTGTATAAAAGCACTAACGTAAAATATATCACATGGACATTTACATGGGGAAATAAAACACTTGAATGGTTAGATTAAATAGAACTGATAAATGTACGTCATATCTGCTTTTGGCACTCGGAACTAACCTAACGATTGTTTACGGATATTGCCGATAAACTTTTTTCCCTTTGAAAAAGGGTATTTTTAAGTCTAAATAAACAGTTTTATGGTGTGCATCCATAGCAAATGCGTTTTGTTTATGACTTTAAAAATATCGAACGTTTGTACAATATAGGTGGCCGGCGACCTTTAAAGATATTTCTGGAAGTTCAAGCTCGTTTGATGAATTCGTAATGAATAGCTATTACCTCCAATACCAATATGAACATTTTTTTTTCGGATCACTCAACTCTACAGAAGCATATATAATATTTAGTATTGCAACATTATGAGTTTATAATGCCTTAGTCTATTAATGTGTATCTTCAAAAAACATGTTAATGACAATTCCCTTCCATCTTTGTTGGTGTGAAATTGATCAAGAGTGTGTGATAATATGTTTATGTATAAGTGCGAATGTGAGCACTTATACATTGGCCTTCACTTTACTGTGGTTAAGTAGGTCTGTACATGCCTGTGAGGTAGAATGCATAATCCAAGGGGTTTGTGACTGTATCACTGTGTGTATTTATGTATGTATATGTTCATGTATGCATAAGTTTGCCTACATAATTGTTTCTTTTGTATTATTAACTTTTGATTTGTTTTCAGATGTAAATATATTTACCAATATGTTTGCTTGGTAGCATGTTTGTAGTATATGGTTTTTTGTAAATCGTTGTACCTTTTATTTACTTGGTGATGTTCTTTTTCTAATTCTTCTCGGCACAAGCACAACAAATTTTCGCTGCTCATACCCATTTTGTTTCCATTGGAAATGTTCAAAATAAGGAATAAAGAGTAGACATTTTTTTGCATATCTATTATTTAAATGCCGAAGGATCTCTTTCTTTTCTACTGAATTGATAATCAGGTCTTACCTTTGTAGTCGTGACAGTGGTAAACTATTCTCCTTTCTATGACATGTTTTAGTAGGATTTGGGGTCTTGCTTGCTAAGTTTATCAGGAATCTATTTTCATAAATATATATTTATGGAGTTAGTTAAATATTTCATATTTATTATTAAAGGTCTTTTCATCAATTCCAATTACTTAGTTCTTCGTAGGGGTTTCTGCAAAATATTGTAAAGTTGCATTTAAGTTACTTATTTAGTCTGCTTCTGTCATCTTTAGATCTATAATATCGGCTGCTTATTAGCTGTTGTTTTGTAAATATTTTTTTTAGATTTATTTGTACTTGTTTATTAGCTTAATACTTCTTTCGAAATAGGAATATATAATATATACAACCTTTATGCATTTGGCATGTTTGTTAATTTAAATAAACCACTTTTCTGGCATTGTATCTACTGTGTTATCTATTTGGATGCATACTACAGTATGTTCAAATAATCGTAAATAAAAATGGGATGAAATGAAAACATCTATTACATAATAATTTATCTTTCACATTCCTTAAGAATAGATGATGCTAATTTGGAAAATCATTCATTTCACAGTATTGTTAGTGTATCACTACTCATCAAATAATATCTACAAAACAGATTTAACACTCATTCTGGATGAATAGGTCAACAAACTCCACTCATCTGGATCATGAACGAAGTTGATGGCTGCCATCACACCATCTATGTTTTTTTTTTTTTTTTTAGGCTACAAGATCACCTTCGATGATGAAGAATGGAACAATATCATGTTGGTAGACATTGAAATGGAAACCATAACATCAATTGCTGTAGTCTGGGGCCTAACAGCTGTGTCTTACTATTGGTGGATAGACATACAAAGCAGACTGAAGTATCGCCACCAATACAGACTGAAGAGTGCATTTTTAGCAGAGGAAGTTAGCGCCTTTTCCTGGTGATTTAATGTTTTTGTCCGACCTGAACAGAAAAATATAGTGCACATACCTTTGTTCTTTCATAGTGTTTCTCTTTAGAAGAAAAACTAACTCGGATCTTGTTCCGTGTCACATTAAAGTGATATATTTTCGAAAGGAATGATTCTTGATTCTATAAGTTAAATTTTGCATCTGCTCTTGGCTTATTTAGTACCGTAATTCACCTTATTTTAACTCTATATATTTGCAAATCGGTAGAGTTGCATAGTTAAATTCATTTTATTCCAACACTGGCTAGCAGCACGGTTTGACCCTCATTTCTAGGTTAAGTTCTGCTGTCATTGTTTAAATTCATATTGACATAGTGTCTTTACCAATTTCAATGACTTATTTGTCACTAGAAAACAATTCTGCATAAATTATATAAACATTTTAATAACATTTATATTGTTTATTATGAAAACTAAGTCATTGTATTGTTCGTATTTATGTTACGTGTTTTAAACCATTATATGTTTAATAGATCTGAGAGATTACGTCTAATATTCTTCGGGTTTTCTAGAACTTTTATTAGTGCAGAATTTTCTCTAACATTCACTTTATAAATTTTGATATATTCTTGTACATAAAGAAATTAAGTCATTTTACAGCATTATTGGTATTAATTTTGACAACAAATACACTATTATTGGTTTTCAGAGATTTTGGATAGTAGTTTTTTGTTTCTCCCTAAGTTGTAGTTGTATGACAAATCGCTATAATAATTACAAGTCATTGAACGATTTGTTTCCGGTGGTTATATTTACGCGCGATTGTTTGGGTTTCTCCTCTTGATGGCTTACAGGTAAGAATCCCATGACAGCAAAGGAGATGATACAGATATTAAATGCCAGTGGACGTGTGGTAATGCTTATTTGGTCTCCGCCTAAATCAGTTCTACAACCAGCCAAACTCATTATACCCCACTACACCTCTCTGTTGCAAATTATTCCTATTGCAGGTATCGGGAGAGGATAGTTAAGGCAGCTCTGTATACTGAGTGTGGACATCAAGCCTAAGGTTAATATATGTGCTTCAGCAATATAAGACGATTCCCAGGGTACTTGATCCGCTCTGAATGCTGCACCCAACCTACTCACTTCCACCGTAGTACCCAAGATATCATTCTTCTCATGGACGAGACGATGGAGAAAGTTTACTTCACATATTACGACTGGACATTCAATTTGCAAATGTCTCATACCCGAATATCCTCAGGCTATTATGCTTCAGGCGCTCAGACGGTCTTTACGAGGCCTGGCGATCATACAGTCATGGCATTAGGCGAGAAAGTAACCACCCAAGTCATACTGAAGCTCTTTTATACTTGCTTCGGAAAAAACGTTAACTGAAGGCAGGATCATGCAAGAATTTTTCAACTATTTTCCATTGGGAAAGGGAACCGGTGACTACCTTCGGTTGTACCCATCCGGAAATGGTGCCTGCAAACGCTTAAAATGCGAGGGATTTTGGAAGAAGATCAACAGCAAGATTGGAAGTCGTACATTGTTCCTATTGTCCATGCATATAATGTTACTAAGCATGATTCCACTGACTTCTCACCCCATTTTTATGTCTTGGTGGCAGCGGCAGCCCCGGCGTTCGGTTGACATCTATCTGGGCACTGCACCAGATTGAGACGAGACTACGGTAGAGCCCTACACGTACGCGGACAAACTGAAAGACCGCCATTGCTACGGTGGTTTAGTGGTTAGAGCGTCCGTCTCGGATGCGGGAGGTAGTGGGTTCGATCCCGGCCGAGTCATACCAAAGACTTACAAAAATAGTACTAGCAGCTGCCTCGCATGGCGCTTAGCATTAAAAGGCTAGTGTTAGGACTGGTCGGCCTGATGTCAGGATAATGTGATTGGTGAGACATCATGCTGCATATCTGCGGCATAATAACCCAATGCTAGACATCACTATAAACTGCCACACTGCAGACTGAAAAACTGTTAAAGCTACGTTAAGAAAATCTAATCACACACAAACCGATTCTCGTACACAGCTGCAGCGAGAGAGTCTTGCAACAGACATGTTAAGAACAAAGTCCAGTACGATAGTCCAAAATTGAAGTAGGGGACCGAGGACTATTACACAATGTTGTACTAAATGGGAAAAAATAGATGACAAGTCGACCAAGAACGTCTTTCATGCGATATCGATCATAATTAGATATACCATTATACGAGGTGAGAAGGGTAGCAGGTTCGAAATCTGTACGCACATTGCAAAGTAATATGCTTTTTCCCTTTGACTATATTACTTGCTATCCGGAAAAATTCGAGTAAACAAATTTTGATCCCTTCAGAGTCAATCTCTGAATATCCAAGTTCTGATTCAGACACAATCCGGTATGTTATATCACATGGACGACCCGGATGGGTAGGGTAGAAGACTTATCGACCCGAGGATACCACACATCGTAGCTCCAGATAGTAGTTCTTTATCTATTATCGACCCTCATATTAGCCAGCCTGTTGAAATCCAAACCTTTCAAAATATTGTGTCTAGAAAACATGAAAGTATTTCAAATGAACCAACAATTCATTTTCTACCGAATCACATGCCTCGCATTAGAGCTCTCATCTTGGATAAGTAAACGTGTCTACTGAAAGGTCAGTTGGAAACCCGACCGTATTGGAGGGAGACCCTGAGAACAAGTCCGTGACGTTAGTCCAGAACCCACCATCACCACAGGTGTCGCGAGAAGACTCAGGCCAGCAACCGGTAAGGCTTTCTAATAGAGACATAAAACCACCCGACTGGCTAGGTCAATGAGTATATTCGCAGAGGATTTATTACGTGTGAATTACTGAAGTCTATCCGTATCTTTCATGCGTTCTTTGCCTTTTTTTAGTAGACGAAAGTGATACTGAATATAACATTTATTGTCAATCTAATTCAAATAATACAAATAAATATAAGGGGACAATATGACGTCATTATTATATGTCAATGTAGTGTCAATTCCAGTAGTTTTAGGTATTTAACTTTCTGCCGGGCAAATTCAATTACTAAGCTCTGTAGATTCGTCATTTTGTACTTTTCTTCCATGTTATAAACTACTATTACTGCAGAATGATGGATAAATATAAGGGTAGGTTGTGGTCTTCTGTGGAAAAGCTGGTAGGTTCGAATCCCACTGAAGCTGACATACTAGGTCAGTCGCACTAGTACAACTATGGCTGTTCAAGAAAATGGGAATACGGGTAACATAAAACCGATCTTGAATAGTTTTCATTTTAATACGATGAGAATGAACGTTCATATGTTTAATCATTACTTTTACATTTTAATATTGTATGTGAATAACTGTCATCTATTAATGTTTTTATTTATTTCGGAAGACACAATGTATAGTACTGATAGATTATTTATTTATGTAGATATTTTTTATACAGCCACAAATTTATTAAATGGCAAGAGACATTTACACGTAGGGCAGGCGTATGTGACCCAAGTGGGTGTTTGTCACAAGGGTGCGCGTGAGTTAGTGAAGTGATGATAACATCAAACTCCTGGAAACCTATAAAAGTCGTAGGCGCTCGTCATTTATCTTTGGACAAACGATTATTCATTTTGTTTAGACCAACGGTGTCATATACAATTCGCGAGAATTGTAGCATATGAATGCTTAGGGTTTTCGTGCCTGGTAAGTTGTCATTAATGTCATCGTGTTGCTATATATTGAAACACTGGCGTGTGTATCGTGTTTGTCTTGTTTGCAGTATTGTATATGTATGTATTTATTCTGTTCTGTTTTAGTATCGCATGTTAAACATTTGTTCTGTTTCGTTGTTGGTTTTATTTATTTTATTTTATTTTATGTTTTTCTGTTATCTCATATGCTTGACGGAATGTAGACCTTTCGACCCGAGGATGTTGGTTTTGCTCCCTTTTGTACATCGCTTGGCTCACACTCTACCTCTTCCTTATCTGACACAAATGAGAATGATTATTGTGCATCAGGAACCGGAAGTACTTCTCTTTGGGTATTTGGCGTATAGCTGATGTAATATTTAGATATTGCACAGTCCACTTTGTCATCATTGCCACATCTATCCAAATTGGAGTCATCATGCAGAAGTAACTCTTGCTGGTTTATCTGTTTTCTCTCTCCAAATCATTTGCACTGCAAAGAGCATCGATTTCCCTTTCCTGCTCCACCAATGGCGAAGATTTGTTGTACA